GTGTGTGTGTGTGTGTGTCCAATTAGATGTGGGCAGGGAGACGTGTGTGTGTGTGTGTGTGTCCAATTAGATGTGGGCAGGGAGACGTGTGTGTGTGTGTGTGTCCAATTAGATGTGGGCAAAGATGTGCTTTCCTCAGAGACACCTAGGACTCAATGCAGGGTTAACTTTGGGACAAAAGGAATGCTCCTGTTCTATTAAAAATCAGATACTTGTTGAGAGCCTGTTGCTCACACCTATAACTCAGGAGGGCTGAGATGTGAGGATTGTGATTCAGCCAGAATACCCAGATACCCAGCCCTGGGCAGCCTTAATTAACTACCAAAAAGCCAGAATCAGAGCTGTCACTCAACCGCTAGCCTTGAATACAAAATCTTAGAGGGATAGCACCCAGGCCCTGAGTTCAACCCCCAGGACCAGCACCAAAAGGGAAAAAAAAAGTCATTCTCAATTTCACAGAAATGGGGAAAGCTTATAGTAGTCTTTTTTAAGTGTGAAGATGCTGTAACTTCATGTGTGTAACTTTAACTTTGAGGGGTGGGGGCGTCACAAAGACAAATATGCATAGGTAAAATTCCAAGGGAAAAAGGCTATTGTTCCAAATGAGAAAAACAAAAAAAATTGAGGGTGCTGGGTATTGGTGGCTCACATTTGTAATCCTAGCTGTTCAGGAAGCTGAGATCTGAGAACCAAGGTTTGAAACCAGCCAGTGCAACAAAAACAAAGGCAGAGCCGAAATGGTGACTCATGTAGAAAGAGCTAGCAATGTAAAGGTGAGATCTTGAGTTCAACTTCCAGTGCTGTCCTCTTCCCCCACCCCCATTCTGTACCCCAAAAAAAAAACTTTTTTTAGGGGAAGGGGGTTGTTATGGGGCTTGAACTCAGGGCCTTGGTGCTGTCCCTGAGCTCTTTTGCTCAAGGCTAACACTCTACCATTTTGAGCCACAGCACCACTTCCAGTTTTCTGGTGGTTCATTGAAGAGTCTCACCGACTTTCCTGCCTGGGCTGAAATAGATCTGGTTAGCTCTTCTCCCCCAAATTCCTAACTCTTTGCAGAGTTAGGAACATCAGAGCATTTGGCCTGAAATGTGAGCCCTCTTAGACTTAGCCCAGTAATTGGAGCACTAATAGACTTTCCTGCAGACTTAGCAGAAAAACAGGTTCCTGAAGATGTCCTGCCTGGGGTAGTTGTTGAGGGGAACCTAGAGAGTACACAGCACAGCTTTTCTCTATGCACATCTTTCCTGTGCCTTCTGTTGGACACATGCGCACATCGTGTATATTCAGGTCCCTCTTCAAGGCAGAGAAAAAGCTACAGGACATAGCATGTGTAGTATCCAGTGGAACAACAGAGCAATGAAAGAATTTTGCTGCCTTCCATTTGTTAAGACACCAGCATCTTGGGTATTCTTTCCCTTGAGAGGGAAGGCAACATGACGACATACAAGGATAGACTCTGCTTCCACCCTCTCACCTTTCCTTAGACGCCTTCTGAAGGTAACGTCTGGCCTGGGTGCAGGTGCAGTCTACCTGGAAGTTCCTTGACTTAGGCTGGTTCACTGGCACCTCACAGCATGGGATCTGCACATTTGTCTGACAGTCTTGCATGTGATTGCAGGGAAGTCAGGGTGACAGCAAGAATGCCAAGAAAAAGAACAACAAGAAGACCAACAAGAATAAAAGCAGCATTAGCCGTGCAAACAAGAAGAAGCCCAGTATGCCCAATGTGTCAAATGACCTGTCCCAGAAGCTCTATGCCACCATGGAGAAGCACAAGGAGGTAACCATGCAGGCTGGGTAGGAGGTGCTGGGCTCCTTTGGGCCCAGGAGGAGGCAGAAGGCACAAAGATGGCTTTCCTTTGGCCCCTTGTGTGGGTGTGTGGTGGAGAGAGGACCACAGGGAAGCTAGAAGCCATAACTGGCCAGTGTGGTAATACCATGTGACTTGGATACAGCCAAGGGGAGCCTGGGCCTCAGGCTGGTGTCAGACTCAACCACCCTCCTGTTCCACAGGCAGAAGTGGCCCCTTGGAGTTAATGCACCTCCTCTCTACAGGTCTTCTTTGTGATTCACCTGCATGCTGGACCTGTCATCAACACCCTGCCCCCCATCGTGGACCCTGACCCCCTGCTCAGCTGCGACCTAATGGATGGACGTGATGCCTTCCTCACCCTGGCCAGAGACAAACACTGGGAGTTCTCTTCCTTGCGCCGCTCCAAGTGGTCCACGTTGTGCATGCTGGTGGAGCTGCACACCCAGGGTCAGGACCGCTTCGTCTACACGTGCAACGAGTGCAAACACCACGTGGAAACACGCTGGCATTGTACCGTGTGTGAGGTAGGCCTCCCTTCTTGCCACATCTGCAACCGGTGCAGATGCCCACAGAACATCCATGACCGTGATGCAGAATTTCACAGCAGAATTTGTGCTGATCTTCTCAGGTTAAGGAGCCAAGCAGGAGGTAGAAGCTCTGTTGTCTTTGTCCCTGCTCTTATCTGGCCTGGCTGCTCTGGGCTGAGGCAGTCTGACTATAGGGACCCACAGGCGCACTCTATGGAGCAGGTGCAGAGAGGGTTGCTGAAATACTGCTTCTTTGGGAATTTCTGCCTGTTCACCCAGCTCAGGGTCAGGGTGCCCTGTATCCCAGTGGCATGTCACACACCTTTGGTCCAGGTCTTAGTCCTTTTATTCACTCACAATGGAGTCCCAAGGGCTGGATTGCTAGCTTCTGCTGAGGTCAACTGGCTTTGATATGTGTTGGGCTTTTCTGTTCTGGAGAGAGTAAATTCTGCTCCTCTTTCTCTGTGGCCTTCTCTTTTTCCTTTTTTTTTTTTGGCTTGTTTGTGAGGCTTGAATTCTGAGCCTGGGTGCTGTCCCTGAGCTCTTCAGCTCAAGGCTAGCACTACTTGAGCCACAGTACCACTTCTGGTTTTCTGGTGGTTAATTGGAGATGTAAGAGTCTCATGCCTGGGTTGGCTCTGAACCGCGATCCTCAGATCTCAGCCTCCTGAGTAGTTAGGATTACAGGCGGGAGCCACCAGCACCCAGCTTCACCCACTTTAAAATGCTTTTCTCCCCCCAGCCTTCTCCATTTTCTAATTTGCTGGTGCTAGATTCTTTGTTTTTCTGTGAACAAGGTTTTCAGTCCCAATTCTAGGGCTCCAAACTCATTCTCAATTTCCAGGAGTAAGCATTTCTTAGATGCTTGGGCTCACGTAACTAGCTTGTGCAATATAGACCATGCGCACTGTGTACCCTTTCTTTTGGGAATGAAGTCCACATGCCCTGGTGTGCTTAGGAAGAATGGCTGTAGCGTCTCTCCCTCTTCACGTACTGGGCCTCCTACACTGGATGTTGTGAGTGTTGGAGAGATGAGGCAGAGTCCTGATGCTTTTCTCATAGCAGAGGAAGGAAGGAAGGAAGAGGCCCCGGTGTCCTTTGCCTGGAAACTTTAGCAGACATTACGTTCAAGCATGTGCAGGCTCGGGCCCGAGTTCAGACCACTCTTGCTGGGCCTGTGCTTCTGCTGACCGTTCCCTTTGCTTGTCTGCAGGACTATGACCTTTGTATCAACTGCTACAACACCAAGAGTCACACCCACAAGATGGTGAAGTGGGGCCTGGGCCTAGACGATGAGGGCAGCAGCCAGGGCGAGCCACAGTCCAAGAGCCCCCAGGAATCCCGGCGCCTGAGCATCCAGCGCTGCATCCAGTCTCTGGTGCACGCCTGCCAGTGCCGCAACGCCAACTGCTCGCTGCCGTCCTGCCAGAAGATGAAGCGGGTGGTGCAGCACACCAAGGGCTGCAAGCGCAAGACCAACGGGGGCTGCCCCGTGTGCAAGCAGCTCATCGCCCTCTGCTGCTACCACGCCAAACACTGCCAAGAAAACAAATGCCCTGTGCCCTTCTGCCTCAACATCAAACACAAGCTCCGCCAGCAGCAGATTCAGCACCGTCTGCAGCAGGCCCAGCTCATGCGCCGGCGGATGGCCACGATGAACACCCGCAATGTGCCTCAGCAGAGTTTGCCTTCTCCTACCTCAGCACCGCCTGGAACCCCCACACAGCAGCCCAGCACGCCCCAGACGCCACAGCCCCCTCCCCAGCCCCAGCCCTCACCAGTGAGCATGTCACCAGCCGGCTTCCCCAGTGTGGCCCGGACTCAGCCTCCTACAACAGTGTCCACAGGGAAGCCCGCCAACCAGGTGCCGGCACCCCCTCCCCCTGCCCAGCCCCCACCTGCAGCGGTAGAAGCGGCCCGGCAGATCGAGCGTGAGGCCCAGCAGCAGCACCACCTATACCGAGTGAATATCAACAATGGCATGCCCCCAGGGCGTACAGGTATGGGGACCCCTGGAAGCCAGATGGCCCTGAATGTGCCCCGGCCCAACCAGGTCAGTGGGCCTGTTATGCCCAACATGCCACCCGGGCAGTGGCAGCAGGCACCCATTCCCCAGCAGCAACCAATGCCAGGTATGCCAAGGCCTGTGATGTCTATGCAGGCCCAACCAGCTGTGGCTGGGCCGCGGATGCCCAATGTACAGCCGCCCAGGAGCATCTCACCCAGCGCCCTGCAAGACTTGCTACGGACCCTGAAGTCTCCCAGCTCCCCTCAGCAGCAGCAGCAGGTGTTGAACATCCTCAAATCCAACCCACAGCTCATGGCAGCTTTTATCAAACAGCGCACAGCCAAGTATGTGGCCAATCAGCCCGGCATGCAGCCCCAGCCCGGCCTCCAGTCCCAGCCCGGCATGCAGCCCCAGCCCGGCATGCACCAACAGCCTGGCTTGCAGAACCTGAATGCGATGCAAGCTGGCGTGCCACGGCCTGGTGTGCCTCCGCAGCAGCAGGCAATGGGAGGCCTGAACCCCCAGGGCCAGGCCCTCAACATCATGAACCCAGGCCACAACCCCAACATGGCAAGTATGAATCCGCAGTACCGAGAGATGCTGAGGAGACAGCTCTTACAGCAGCAGCAGCAACAGCAGCAGCAGCAACAGCAGCAGCAGCAACAGCAGCAGCAGCAAAACAGCGCCAGTATGGCCGGGGGCATGGCCGGGCATAGCCAGTTTCAGCAGCCACAAGGACCTGGAGGCTACGCCCCAGCCATGCAGCAGCAGCGCATGCAGCAGCATCTCCCCATCCAGGGCAGCTCCATGGGCCAGATGGCCGCTCAGATGGGACAGCTTGGCCAGATGGGGCAGCCTGGGCTGGGGGCCGACAGCACCCCCAACATCCAGCAGGCCCTGCAGCAGCGGATTCTGCAGCAGCAGCAGATGAAGCAGCAGATCGGGTCCCCGGGCCAACCTAACCCCATGAGCCCCCAGCAGCACATGCTCTCAGGACAGCCGCAGGCCTCCCATCTCCCTGGCCAGCAGATCGCCACATCCCTTAGTAACCAGGTGCGATCTCCAGCCCCTGTCCAGTCTCCACGGCCCCAGTCCCAGCCTCCACATTCCAGCCCGTCACCACGGATACAGCCCCAGCCTTCACCACACCACGTCTCTCCCCAGACTGGTTCCCCTCATCCTGGACTGTCGGTCACTATGGCCAGCTCCATGGATCAGGGACACCTGGGGAACCCCGAACAGAGTGCAATGCTCCCTCAACTGAACACGCCCAGTAGGAGTGCACTGTCCAGTGAACTGGCTCTGGTCGGTGACACCACGGGAGACACTCTAGAAAAGTTTGTGGAGGGTTTGTAGCATTATGAGAGCATCACTTTTTCCCCTTTCACGTTCTTGGACCTTTTGTACTGAAAATCCAGGCATCTAGGCTAATCTTTTTACCCCTAGATGGGACTGCGACTTCCAGGCTATGGAAGGGTGGATTGATGTTTAAAGAAACAATACAAAGAATATATTTTTTTGTTAAAAACCAGTTGATTTAAATATCTGGTCTCTCTTTTTTTCCCCGTTTTGTTTTTGTTTGGGGGGGGAGGGGTCGTTTGGATTCTTTTTGTCGACATTGCTGGTGACTCATGCCTTTTTTTAAATGGGAAAAACAAGTTCATTATATTCATATTTTTTATTTGTATTTTCAAGACTTTAAACATTTATGTTTGAAAGTGAGAAGAAAAATAATATTCGGAAACTGGTTCCTGAATTAATGCATCTTATAATGTATCCCGGTAACTGTCTTGACGTTGCGGGAAGATTTTTTTCTATAGTGAACTCTGTGGGCATCTCCAAGTATTACCCTGGACGATAGGAATTGACTCCGGCGTGCACACACGTACACACCCACACACATCTATCTATACATGCTGGCTTAAGCCAAACTCTTGTCTTGCAGATGTAGAAATTGTTGCTTTGTTTCTCTGATAAAACTGGTTTTAGACAAAAATAGGGATGATCAGTCTCCTTAGACCATGCTAATGCTAATAGAGAAGAAGCATTCATTTCTTTCTTCTATGTGAAACTTGAAATGAGGAAAAGCAATTCTAGTGTAAATCATGCAAGCGCTATAATTACTATAAATAAGAAAATTGAAGAAGATTCAATCACTGTATAGAATGGTAAAGTACCAACTCATTTCTTATATCATATTGTTAAATAAACTGTGTGCAACAGACAAAAAGGGTGGTCCTTCTTGAATTCATGTACATGGTATTAACACTTAGTGTTCGGGGTTTTTTTGTTATGAAAATGCTGTTTTCAACATTGTATTTGGACTATGCATGTGTTTTTTTTCCCATTGTATATAAAGTATCGCTTAAAATTGATATAAATTACTGAAGTTTTTAATATGTATTCTGTTCTTTAAGATCCCTGTAAGAATGTTTAAGGTTTTTATTTATTTATATATATTTTTGGAGTCTGTTCTTTGTAAGACATGGTTCTGATTGTTCGCGTAGAGTGGAGAGGCCGGGGCTGCGGTCATGGTGGCCGTGCGGGTGGCGGCTGGGGTGCGTCCCAGCCTGGTCGCCTTCCTTCCCAAGACTGAGGTGGCAGCTTGGCAGTAGCCACGCCGATCGGATGCTCACAGGTGAATTTCGTCCCTGCCACGCCAGGGTTCTGAGGCAGCACTTTGCCTCCGGCCCAGTCTCCCCATCCTTCCTCTTGTTGCAGCCAGCTCTCTCTTTGGGGAGGGCTTCCTGCCCTTTCTTCAGGCAGTCCCTCCCCCTTCTATACACAAATCCCAGATCTGATGCAAAGGGTGCTCATGGAACTCCAGGTGGCTCCCGACGCCCCCTCTCCCCTGAAATCCTTTGTCCAGTAGGGAGGATTCCTCCATCCGCCTGTCTTGTGGGGCCTCAGTGAGGCCCCCATAGGCTGTAGGCTGTGTGCCACCTGGAACAGATCCTGCCACCCAGCCCAGCTGTGGGTGACCTTACTGAGTAAGGTGACTCAGAAAGATTGCAAAGCCAGCTTAGAGGAGGACTTGAGCAGGGGACTGGCGTGAACCCCTGGTCTGCTGCTCCCTCTCCCCCCATCCCCCAGAACTTTTTTGTAATCCCTGTCTTCCAGCCAAAGGGGTGGTTTCTGATAGGGGTAGGGACTGAGGTGTTAACTGTAGAAATCATGGCCCAAATAGCTTCCTTTTTGGCCCTTAACGTTCACAGAAGTATTTTCAGAATACATCATACTTGAGTTGGGAATCTAAATTTGAGGAAACCTTCAGAGAACTTGGAAGGGTGCAATGTAGTATTAGCACAGAGTTTTTGAGTCTTGGTTTTTTAATTATGTGGATTTGCTAAACCAGGTAAAGACAAGGCCGCCATCGAGCATCCCTGACCCGACCCACTCCCGTCTCCGCCCCGTCCTCTAGCCTCCAGAACCTGCCATCCTGCTCAACTTGCACATTCGCGGTCCTCTTCGGAGTCCCCTTCTCTGCTGATGGGGGATTCCTGAGCCATGTGTTCAAACCAGAAGTGGAGCCGGAGCCCTGGAGAAGCTGTTCCAAGCCCACGCTCAGAGGGGGTGCTCGCCAGTGTGCAGCCTTTTAACGTGGGCAGTGGAGACGTCTTTTTCAGGTTATCCTGGAATTCAAAACTCTATGTACCAACCTCTTCCTTGTTGGAATCTGCATCCTATGCAACTGTCCATCCGGGTGTCAATGGATGTGGCTGAGGGTGTGGGCTATGGATACTAACCTTAAACCTGTCCTAAGGAAATTTCTGTAAGAGCTGGAGAGCCCAGACGCTGTGTCTCATGCTGTATACTTGAGAGGAGAAGAGAAAAAGTCCTATATTTGTGATCAAAAAGAGGGAACTTGAAATGTGCTGGTGTTTATAATAAAAGCTGGTAAAACTGCTTGGATTCAAAGATGGTTCCGATTGGCTAATGACCCTTATCATTAGCTCAGCAGCTAGTCACTGAAAGGCCGAAGATCTGTTGAATTTGTCTCCACTGAACATGCCTTTTTGATAATGTCTTTGAGGGTCCTAACATTTAAGAACTGAAATCAAGTGAGATGGCCGTGGATAACTTCTGCTTCTGTACTGTCAGTTGGAGGTGAAGTGTTTTATTTCTTTTGGTTGCTCTAAAATGGAGCCAAAGGTTTTTCTAATAAAAAAAAGTTTAGCGCTGCATGGCATAATGAGCTTGGGGGGAAAAAAAATACTCATAAAGATAGTGATTGTGTTGATAGCCCTTGAGATGCCAGGAAGTTCTTAACACAAGACAGCATTCTGGGTGCAAAGTGAATCCGTAACCACCCTATATGGGTACTTGTAGGAGCGGGAATAAAGTTGGCCCAGATACCACAAAGGTACATCTCAGGAAGAAAGGAACTGTTCCTTTCACATGCACTAGCCAAAAGCTACATCCTTGTACATAGTAATAAGGATGAGTAAAAAACAAGACAGAATAGTGTAGCACTGAAACTGACAGAGTGGTGGAGCCCTGCAGCTGATCCTAATTGTCCATAAAACTGCTAACATGCTCCCATCTGTTCATAGAGGATAGCAATTTACTGGCTCTGATCTTTTTTTTTCTTCACTTAAAAATTGATATTTTTTTTCTTTGCCAGTCCTGGGACTTGAACTCAGGTCCTGGGCTTCTTGGCACTGAGCTTCTCTGTGCTTAAGGCTAGCACTCTACCACTTGAGCCACAGTGCCACTTCCAGCTTTTTCTGTGTATGTTGTACTGAGGAATCAAACCCATGACTTCATGCGTGCTAGGCAAGCGCTCTACCACTAAGCCATATTCTCAGCCTCAAGGGCTTTCCCCCCCCCCCCCAGTTGGAGGACTTGAACTCCTGGCCTGGACACTGTCTCTGAACTCTTCAAGGCTAGCTCTCTACCACTTCAGCTACAGGGAGTGCCACTTGCAGTTTTCTGGCGGTTAATTGGAGATGAGTCACAGACTTTCCTGCCTGGGCTGGCTTTGAACCACAATCCTCAGATCTCAGCCTCCTGAGTAGCTAGGATTACAGATATGAGCCACTGGCGCCTGGCTGATTTTTTTTTTAAGAATATACTATTAAGAAACAGGCACTGGTAGCACACACCTGTAATCCTAGCTACTTGAGAGGCTGAGGATCATGGTTTGAAGCCAAACCCAGCAGGAAAATTCTTGAGACTCATCTCCAGTTAACCACCAAAAAGCTGGGAGTAGAGCTGTAGCTCAGGTGGTAGCATGCCAGCCTTGAGCAAAGCAACTCAAGGACAGTACCCATGCTATCCCTGAGTTCAAACCCCAGAACCAGCACATACACACAAGAAACAGCAAAATGGTAGACTGCACTGGGGGGGGGGGGGAATTAGTGGCTCAGGACTGTAATCCTAGTTATCCAGAAGGCTGAGATCTGAGGATCACAGTTCAAAGCCAATCCAGTCAACAAAGTCCACGAAACTTATCTCCAATTAACTACCATAAAATTAGAACTGCCACTGTGGCTCAAAGTGGTAGAGCACTAGCAAGCAAACAAACGCAGAAACAGTGCACACAGACCCTGAGTTCCAGCCCCACCACCACAAGAAAAAGGCCTGACCCTCTGTGAAGTTTAGGGAACTGAGAAATGGCCCCGACACTGTAGCAAGGAGCACAGTCCTCAGCCTTAATCTTGAGTGAATCCCTCAGTTTTCTACCAAGGTGAATAAGAAAGAGATAAGCAAAGCATTATAGTATGTGACCCATAACTATTTCCATAGATCCATTCTACTCTAGCTGTGAGGTAGGAAAGCAGATGAGCCAGTGACATAGGTTCAGAGGCCATCAAGGGCAGAAGGGCAGAGCATAAGGAGAACCCCTAGGAACTTCTCTAGCCCATCCTCATCCCCCAAGTTCACCACGCCCACTTGGGAAAACAGGAGTATCACTGTAAGTGGTAACAGGCCTGCCTGTTTGGTGTGTACTGGATAACTTTGACTGGGAAAAGAAATATTGAAGTCAGGCGCTGGTGGCTCACGCCTGTAATCCTAGCTACTCAGGAGGCTGAAATCTGAGGATCAAAGTTCAAAGCCAGCCCTGGCAGGAAAGTCTGTGGAACACTTATCTCCAATAAAACCACAGATGGGGCTGGGAAAGGTGGCTCAGTGGTAGAGTGCTTGCCTTGCATGCATGAGGCCCTGGGTTCGATTCCTCAGCACCATATAAGCAGAAAAAGCCGGAAGTGGCACTGTGGCTCAAGGGGTAGAGCGCTAGGCTTGAGCTGAAGGACTGAGGGACAGCGCCCAGGCCCAGAGTTCAAGCCCCACAACCAACAACAAAAAAAGAAATATTGGCACCCTAGTATTGCCTAATCCTATTGTCTGCCCCCACACAGTGCTGAGAAGAGGGTGAAACTGAAATAGCATTTCTTTCATCTTCCATACTGTGGCTCTTTGCCCACAGAGACCTCTTACAGAGACATTTAAACCAAACTGGTTATATCCATGAGAGTCAGAGGAAAGGATCCTTCAGGGAAGACAGTGATGTTTGGTGCCACTCAGGTG